AATACTTACTAGCTGTGTGACCTTGGGCAAGTCACTTAACCTCATTGCCTAGCCAAAAAACAAAAAGCAAACAAAAAAAGATATTGTGCTAGGACACTGAGGGGATATGAAGATTAAAAAAAACAACAACAGTTTTTGTCCACATTGTGTTAGAGTTCCATGGGGAACACTCAAGGAAGTCCTTACTGATCTTTAGTTATTGTCTTTCATTCTCAAAGAGGACCAAAATCATATCATTATGCTAGAGTCAAGTTGCAGTGTGTCCAACTGTGGTTAGCCAGAATAATACAAATTTGGAATGCTCTACCACAGGTTGAGCACAAATGGTACATGTAAACATTTAGGGTGGATTCTCTAAATTTGTACATCGTGCATTTCTTTTGAGTTACTTCAATTCTGCTTTGCTCATAGAACATGGCACCTTCTTTGATGAGGGCACACCATGCTAGCTCCTTTGCCAGCATCTCCCATGTCATTCAATCAATTCCAAAGTTCTTCTTGCTGTATGACCTAGGACTAACCACTTAAGGCCAATCCATAATCCTCCCTGTACCTCCTTTTTTTCAACTGTTAAATGTGATCAATACTTAACTCTAGATAATATCTTTAAAGTATTTTGCTTTCCTTCAATTAAACATTCTAAGAAATAGCATATAAATGAGTGGTCACAATCACTACTTATGATCTGCTACCACCTAAAAAGTGACTGATTAAATATTATGAAACTATATCATGACATAACCCCCAGTTTTCTGCTTTGGATTGCTATGTTTTATGCTTACAGTAACTACTTTCTGTCCAGTTTATTGAGAACAGAAACATATCAGAATCGAGGAGCAAAATCCATCAGGTATTTTGCCCAGTTGGTCAACTAACATTTATTAAATGACTATTATATGCCAGGCACTGTGCTAAGCAATGGAAATGCAAATAAAAGCAAGTCTTTGCCCTCTAGGAACTCATACGGTTGTAATGGTGGTGGTGCTGAGAGGAGACAATATGCAAACCAGATATAAATGACAAACTGAGAGTCCTCTCAGAAGGAAGGCAATATAATTAAGGAAGACTGGAAAGGTTTCTTGTAGAAGGTGGGACGTTAGCTGAAACTTGAAGGAAGCCAGGGAAGCTCTTGTCGCCATGAAGACTATCTATTATGGATACTTAAACTTTAGGATTGTATTTTCATACTTGTTCTCCTAGAGAAAGAAGGGAGGAAGAGAGCTTGAGAAACTCTATCCTCTCAGACTATTTAGATGATTTGAGATGAACTAAGAAACCTTTTGTTGTATCAGCCCAGAAATTCCTATGCTCACTTTAATTCTTTTTAATTCTAAGTATAGCCATCAGTAATATTTTTCTGGTTTGTAAAATGTATTCTGGACCTCCGTTTGGAAGATACTATGTAGGTTTAAAGCATCTTAATTTAATTTTGGATATTTTGTACATAATTTGTAGAGTGATTATTTGGTTAAAAATATATTTTTTAAAAAATATACTAAGCTCCATTCTCTGCTCTTTCAATAGTGGACAATTGCAGAGTAAAACACTTTTAGGTTTACTCTAATTAAATTCAATATTTCATTCTTATCAATATTTACACTAAATAAAATAACAATTGTGTGTTTATATACTGTACTTCTTTACATAGAAGCATGTGAAAAACTTGCTTTAATGGGCTTCTCTCTCAAGAATCCCCTATCTGGTAGTCAGTCATCTTCTTACAAAAAGAGGTGAACATTAAAAATGAAAACAACAGAAGTCAAACCTGATTGTAATTGGGCATAATAAATTTATCTACTAAACTACCACATGGTTATATTTCTGTAAGGCAAATAAATAATAAAGCAAAATAAGCCTATGTAGTTCACTAAATTTTTACTACAGCCAGTTCAGCCAGTACTTTAAAATAAATTCTTAACTGTATATTTGCTCAAATGGTTTTCCTTTTCTTCGAGAATTGCTATTGGCATTAATTTCCCTAGATCTGAAAGTATGATCCATTTGTGTTATTACAAGCCTTACATCCTTCTTTTGAATCACAAGAGCTGGAAGGGGCCAGAGAGTTTATGTTTCAATCTGCCACCCAAAGGAGGTGTCCTTACTACAATATTGCTACAATATAGATGATTATTCTGTCCAGTCTTTGCCTATGTTTTCCTATGTTAAAGCTATTAAAATTCATTCTCTTCTGAAACAAACACCAAGCACAGCCATTTTTAGTATCAGAGAAACTCACTTTTCTGATCCAGTAAGATTGCAATTACAATCCTCTCGCTTTAATGCAGAGCCGGTGAATGTCCTTTGCTCGAAAATGGGAGTACGCTTTAGCACACTTTCCTTTATTAACTTAGAAATAATCTTCTCTCTTTGGATAAAAGTAAATAAATTATCCTCTGATTCCCAGCTGTGCTTGAATGGATCACGGTAAGAAGTGGTCAGGATTAAATCTGCTGGAGTCAACAGCAGTCCTGGAAATCAAACGAGGAATTGGCGTCCACTTAAAAGTCATGTCCCAAGTAGAGAAACAACGGAACACTCTGCTTGCAGCTGTGCTGGGGGATCAATTTAGTTAATGAGAAACGGCGAGTAGCCGCGCAATGGTTGGAGTTACACAGCAGCTTCTCATCACAGGAAAACAGTAAGTGCGCTCCTTTGCAACAGTTACTGCACTTATCTGGGAAGCAGAGAAGAAAAGGAAGGTTTACTTATTTATAAGAGTTCTCCTATGAGAAGTTAACCCCAGGGTAAAGCTAATGAGGGTTGTGGAGAAAAGAAAAGAAAAAAAAAAGTCAGCCTCCTGGCTGTCGAGGGATCGGATTAGTTAAATAAGCAGTAAGACCCCCAAACTTAAGTCTTGGCATCATCGATATATACTACTGGATGCATGACCTGTGAGCCTATTTCCTGCTCTCTGCTTTTCGGAACTTTATGAAATCGTCGGTCTTTTAAGCCATGTTGATCCCCCCCCCCCATACTGCCATGAAAACTAGCTATTATGGATACTGGATGTTTAGGAGTGACTTATCTTCATACCTGTTCTCCTAGAGGAAGGAGAGAGGGAGAAGAGAGCAAGAAAGATTCTATACTCTAAGACTGTTAGAATACAGAATCAGACTTACTTATTTAGATTCTAAGTTAGAAGCTGTGGGCACTGCTAAGGTCTTCCCTAGGTCCAAGTACAAAACCGTCCACTATGCTGTAGTGCCTATATGCCAGCTATGTGGAACTATCAGGTTGAGTGGTTGAATTTCTCTATTTTCATCTAATTTTTTTATAGTTAAATAAACAAATTTTTTCTTGTTGAATTTTTTTAAGATACAGGAATCCCATTTTATTATGTTTTTATGTGAAAGTATTTTTATTTTGTATTTTTTAATTTGAAAAAGTGAACAGTGGCATAATCTTGGAACTTTGTTGTAACAATTAAGTTCATGAAATTTTAGAGCTGAAAAGGAACTTTTTCATTTTACAGCTTAGGAAATTTGGGCCCACAGAGGTTAAATGACTTGCCCAAAGCAACATAATATATTTAAGGCAGAGATAGGCTAGGACCCATTCCTCCTGACTCTTACTTTTTTCCTTTATAACACATTTCGAGGAAAATTTATGAGATAAATTTCACAGAAGCCTTCCATCACTGAAAATGAAAAGTCTATCATGTATATTTCATCATTTATGAAACATTTCTTTTGTGGCCTGCATGTGGTTTCAACATTCATCAATAAATTCATAGTAACCTTAAATATTCTATTATTTGCTGTTCAAAGTAGTGATTAAGGATATATGTGTCAATTTCACACAAATTATGAAACATCCTGAAATACAATAAATCATTGGAATATAAATGACTTACTATTATAATGAGTAGGAAATAGGTAGCATGGTTTATAGCCAATATTTGGTCTAGTACCATGAATAGTAAAAAATGTTTTCCTATTTATATGTCAGATTGAGTGAAACACACTTCCTGAAACATACTTCTATGGAGGAAGAAATCAATGCATGTTTAATATGACAGCCATATTTTTTTCAGGTGGTTTTAGAAATACTGGGGGTCTTTTTGGTTTCTTTGGTTGGGGAGGCAGGGGACAGAGAGGTGGAACATTTGCTATGAAGAACAGGAAATCAGATTTTATATTTCCTCTTACGGGCATCCACTATATTGACTGAATTATTTGTTTATAATATATGTATTTGCCTGGATAAGACTATTAGGGTAAAAAAAAATCTATATGCTTATTACAACACTGTTTTCTTTTTACTAACCATCCTCCCATGTAGCCCTCATCTCATCCCATTCCCTACTTCCAGTTCATGAACTATAATCAGCCGAACTACCAAAACAATTTTATAGTCTGGGAAATTGAGACCCAGAGAAGTGAATTGACTTGTCCAAGGCCACGTAATTGGCTAGTTCTACAGACAAAGCTAGCATAGGCAATTCTTTATTATTTTTCAGTATTGATTTGGACAAAAGATAAAAAAGCAATTTGCCTGGTTTCTTACCTCTATTAATCTGGTCATTTCTTCAGCTTGTAATGATCCACTTTCCTCAGTCCTGCTAGAGGATGGTGCTGATGTAACAATGGCTCCCTAGGGACTTTGGTAGGTCTTTGGAGTTTTAATTATTTACACTGTAGTGTACAAGGTATTTTCTGAGGGATGGAGAAGATCAGTGGGTTGGCTCCCTGTACTCTTTTCCTTAGGAAAATATACAAGTTGGGGTTTCCTTTCTCTGTCCAGAGTCACTGAGAGTTTTTGAGAAGGTTATTTAGAATTCCTGGCTCTCTCTAGCCCTGGAAGAAGTAGCCTGAGAGCTCAGAATTCTGTTCCCATATTCAGGCCATTTATGACTCTTAGACTGCTCATTATCCATGGAGCATAGGAAAATAAGAGGAGAGTGTTCCAGTGCTGCACTTTGGCTTTACCAGAGACAGGAAAGAAGGAAAGATCAGGGAAGGAATTATAACGTATAGGGTCCAAATTCTCCTTTCCTTGTTCTCTGTGTCTAAATATACCATCATGTCAATACCAGAGGATGTCCAAAGCTCCCTGAAATTGCCACCTTTGACCATATATCAGAAGGGGAAAACCTTTCACGAAACTGAAGATATCCATAGCACCTTTGAGAGACTCGCTACACTTCACAGGCTCCTCCCTGACCCTCTGAGGGAATTGCTGTGCTCCTTCATTTGTGAAGAGGACGTTCGAGAAAGTATGTAGGCTTAGTCTGGGTCCCAGATTTTTTTTTGTGTGAACACTCCTTGCTTCCTTGGCATGGCACAGGCTACTCATGACACTCATGGAACTCTGTCAACACAACCTATGCCATTATTATAGGCCTATGTTCTGTTTTATACATATATGAGTTTGCTCATTCATAATTTCCTAAATGACTTTTTTCTTCAATTTAATATACTCAATTTAATATTAATTAACATGCTCAATATAATTAATATACTCCATTTAATATACTCAACAAGTATCAATCAAGCCTCTTTCCTGCACTGTATTAGGTGCTAGGGTAGCAAAGACAAAAACAGTATAGCCTATGCCTTCCAAGATTTTACATTATACTGGAAGGAAACGATATGAACATAAGTAGATGTAAAATAAATAAAGTAGTTGGGGCTGGAGGTCACTAATAACTGGGGAAATCAGGAAATCAGGAATTCCCTCTTGTTAGAAGAGACATGAACAAAGCCTTGAAAAGGAGCTAAGAAGAATAGGAGGTGGAGGTGAGGAAGGAATGCATTCCAGGTATGGAGGGCAAGCCTGGGTGAAGAGCCAGTGTGGAAAAATGAAATGTCGTGGATAAGGAAGAACAAGTAAGTCAGTTTATCAGGAAAGCCAGAACATAGAGTAAAATTCAGATGTTGGGAGTAATAATGTGTATTCATCACGAAAAGGTAGGTGGAAACCAGATTTTGAAGACCTATATGAGTTTGTATTTGCCAAGGTAAGTTTCTTAAAAATAACAGTAATAATAATGATGACGGTCATGATGATGATAGCTGGCATTTATATACTGCTTTAAGGTTTGTAATATGCTGAACATATACCATCTCATTGGATTTGACTGCTTGTGTGTGATATCTTTTTGACTGTAGTAGGTACTTAACGCACATTTTTAAAAATTTCTATGTACCTATAGTAAATACAATTTAAATTAGGAAAACTACTTGAGGCATTCCTCAGCATCTAGTACTTTTTTTAAAGCTAAGGACATAGACCTAGAATTCCTTTTCTACTTTACAAATATTGCATGTTGGGCTAATTATTGAGGTCCAATTAGATATATAATATGTACTCTATGGATTTAGTCTTGGTATATATAATTGGATTGTGTACTTTAAATAAATTTATAATCATTGTATTTGTGCAGAAAATTTACTATTTCATTATTTTATCCATTTATTCATTGCCTATTCCAGGCAATCACTGAGTTTAGTGAAATATATGGTAAACTAATTAGAAGACCTAGATAAATAAGCTAATACTTCGAAACCTACATGGGCTGAGTATAAGAATATCTAGGGTCTATTTCCAAGTCTTGCTTCAATGTTGGCCAAATGACTTAGAGTGGACCTACAAATAAAGTTGGAGATTTATCCAATTATCTTTTACTTGAATTGATGAGATATAGTTCATTTAGGTAATTTTGTTATGGACAGCAACAAAGTAAAGGTCATCTGCCAGGGGTAGCGGGGAATGAAATAGTGAAGAGAGTTAGAGGGGTGTGTGTGTGTGTGTGTGTGTGTGTGTGTGTACATATATATGGAGAGACATACAGACACAGACATACAGACACTCTTCACTTCTTTGTGTTTCCTTCTTCCTTTGTTGCTTTGTTATAAGTATGCAAACTTCTGCGTGGATTGTGAACTCTTTGGGTTCCATGTGCATGTTCATTCCTTTTATAATAAACCTAATTTTCACATAAGTTTCTTGAAGTGGTGATTGCCTGTTGGCACATGATATTGTGAAACAAATGATGGACTTGAAGTCAGGAGCCTGGAATTAAAATCCTAAGCCTGATAATGTCTAGCTATATTGTCATGGCTATGTCACTGAGCTTCAGCTTACTACTCTTTAAAACTGGAATGCTTGTACTATCTTAGTGAGAGGGTTTTTGTAAGGAAAATGACTTGTAAATCTGAAGGGACAATATATGTGTATTTATAATTGTTATATTTTTAACGGGTCTGTGTTCTCACCAATGTATAGCTTCTTTCCATGCCCCCTCATCTTATGTGATTCTTGTTATATTCTCTCGGAGACCCTCTGGAAGATCTAACTGTTTTGTTGGAGAGCTCCCTATAGGTCTATTTTTACATTTTGTGAGTGCCAACATAGTGCTCAGGCTGTTGTTATCATTCAGGTATTTTATACATTTCTGGAAATGTTATACATTTCTGGAAATATACTGCAACCTAGTTGTGCCCACCATGCATCTATCTCTCTGGTTATCTCTGCATTTTCTGCAGCTTTGAATGGATGAAGATTGAGGTATTACAAGATTTGCAACCAGACAGTATCCCTGGGAGAATATTTGAGTTAAAAAAAAAAGATGGATTTTTAGAAGGAATGTTAAAAGCACAGAGTAATTTCCTAAATTCAATCTAGTCCATTTTCTTCCTCCTATTTTACTTTAGCCCTGACTCATTCTCCTGTTGTAATGTCTATACTAAATATGTGTATTGGTGTACTGACCCAGGGGGCTGGCCTCCCAATTAACTAGCTTAGTCTAGAATAGATAGTAGACAATTTTCATCCATTTAGTTTTTTCCTGTGAGGATTGTTTGGTCAATCTGTTTTAAGTAATCATGTATCTACACCCACTTTGAGGATATCCTTGATGAAAATAAGAGTAGGGAACAGTGTAAATTATGTTTGATGATGGACCACAGCTTTATTGTCATATAATTGATTGAAAAGTAATGAGAATAAATAAAAGGTCCTATTGGATTTATTATTCATTGATTACCAAAAAAACCCCAAAACATTTGACTTGCTAGAACAAAATTTAACTTCAATTAGGAATGTTTCATGCATGAGTTAAGATCACGCAAGATTCCTTGATAAATGAAACCAGAGGACGCTCCTGTAGTATTATAACTGCCTGGTTATTAATGTTGATGAAAGCATGAAATAGGGAGGTATGTGTTTGCCAAAGGTGTTCATCACTGTCATGGAAGATGCTCTATATAGAGTCCAAATAGAAGACAGATTCCTATGGATGATTATTTGGGTTATTTGGATGCTCTTGTTTTGGGAGATGATCTTTTGCTGATCATTTAAAGCCCCTCAGAACATCATCAGATCTCTTCAATGAGATCCATGATTACTTATTATTATTACAGGAATATAAAATATGATTATATTAACACTTACAGTAATCACATAGCAACATGCCACTAGTCTGAGAAACATTTTAACATTAGTTATCTCTCCCCCATACACATTACTGTAACCCCTCAATGAGATCCATGATTCCTCATTCTTGTTGTTGTTGTTGTTGTTATCAAAGAAATACAAAGCATATATTAATAGAATAATCATATGGCAACTTGCCACTAGTTTCAGAAACATTTGAATGTTATTTAGCAAAAACTGTGCTGTTTATTGATTCATACTTATTTCATCCATCCATCCGTCAAAGAAAAATATTAATGCTATATTCTGTATTTGGGGGAAAAGACTACCAGACACAATTTTTTTTTATTAATTTATTGTTATCCTAAATTCAAGCATTGATCTTGAGAAATGTCTAGACCGATAGAGTTCTCTCATCCCTTTGGGCATACCTGGTATCTTCAATATAAAAATGTTTAAAGTAACATTTATAGGAATCTTGAATGAGGAAAATTCACAGTATACATAGTTACCCTACTCACAGTAAGGCAAAAGTCAATATTTTGCTTTATCAGAAGTGAACAAGTGACCTGAAGAAATCAAGAGATCTTATTATCCATCTCATTCATACCCTAATGCCCTCAGGAAATGGGACAGGCAATGATCTTAATTAGATGAAAGCTATTTCCTTCTAAGTTTAGTTACAACCCCTAAACCATTTCCCCCATTTAAGCCATTAAACCATTTAAAAATTAGATTTTTTACCTCCATTCTTGACCTTTTACACAGTTTTCTAAATGGAAGACATTTTGACTTAAGATAAAAGGAGAAAGGATTTTAGTGGTGAGTGGGTATTGTTTCTTGGGAAATTTGACTAGGTTCCAATCAAGTTTCCTTGCTTCAGGTGAGTCTGGAGAGAACTCTAACTGGAGAAGCATTTATTAATATTTTAAGTTGAATTAAGGTTTGAACATGCTTCCACACGTTCAAAAGTATTTTTTGACCATCAGCTACTTGAAAAGAATCATGCTAAATACTAAGTGATGCTCAATAATACTTGTTGAATAAATGAAGGGACAAATAGCACAAATATTATTTAGTGCCAATATTATTTATCAATATTACACAGACTAGTAAGTAGCCTGATGCATTTGATCCTTAGTAGACTTAAAATAGCAGAATGTAAGTTTTTTGAGGGCAGGAACTGTTTCATTTTGTATCTGTAGCAACTAGAAGGAGACTATCATTAAAAGTAGGAAATTAGTAAATGTTTGCTAAATTGAATTGATAGAGTGGGACTTTGAGGGGAACTAATATTTTTTCTATTCCCGAGTTTAGATTATGAATTCCCCAAACTTGAAAAGATTTTAAAAGTTAAGAAGCTGCCAAGTGAGATTTACACAGCAGCAGCACCAAATCATGTGACCCCCTGGAGAAGAAACATTTCCAACACAATGTTTGAAAGAAGTAGAGAACTCAGCTTTCCGAAGAAGCAATTTAAGGGGATTTTAATGTCAGCTGTAATCGTAAGGTACAGCTTGCCTTGTTTTTCAATTTGGTTTTTTGGTTTTTTTGGACTGCATCTGCAATTTCATTTGGTGCAAGGAACTCCGAGTGAAGAAACTTGACTACCAATGCAGGTCAGCACCTGACCAGCAATTTACTGACTTAGAGAGTTGACTGCACTGAGAAGTTAAGTGACTTGCCTAGGGTCACACAACCAGTCTTTGTCAGAGCCAGTATTTGAAACCACATTTTCCTGAAACTGAGGCCTGTTCCTTAGCCACCACACATTAGTTCAAAATTTTTTCATTATCAAAATGCTGTTTTGAGATAAATAGGAGACACAAAATTCACTGTGCTCCAAATAGCTCCACTTGTTGTATATTTCTTTGTACATACTTCATCTCTACTTATCTCTGTATATGTTGTTTTCTCTAATAGAGTGTAAGTTCCTTGAGGGCAGAGCTAGTTTCGTCTTTGCATCCGTACCACCTAGCACAGTGCCTACCTAGCATGTGGTAAGAGCTTAATAAATATTTGTAGAACTGCATTGAACTGACATGTCTAGAAGCAAGTAGGAACCATGAAAGACTATGTAGTATACCAGAGACAGCACCAGACTTGGAGTTAGGAAGCAGCTGTGGATAGAGCCTCAAGTTCAAATCCAGCCTCAATATTCACTAACAGTATGACCCTGGGCAAGTTACTTAACCTCTGTGTGACTTAGTTTACCTGACTGTAAACATGGGAATAATAACAGCACCTACCTCACAGGGTTGTTGTGAGGGTCAAATGGAATAATATTTGTAAAGTGCTTAACAGCACTTAATAAATGCTTGTTTCCTCTTTCCCCCACCCCCATCCCCTTCCCTTCCCTTTCCTTCCCTTCAGGAGACTTTGATTTGAGTCTTGGCTTTTATATTTACTTGACTCCATATGGGTAAGCTACTTACTGATCTCAGTCTCCTCATCTATAAAATGGGGACAATAACAATACTACTGCCATGCTACCTACTATATAATAACTAACTTACTATATAATAACAATGTGACTACTGTATTACCTACTTCAAAGGGTTGTTGTGTGAAGAAAGTGTTTTATAAACCTTAAAGTCCTAGGTAAATGTGAATTATCGTATAAGTATAGTCAGTGTGTTATATTTCTGTGTACTATCTTATAGCTATTTATAGAAGGTGCACAAGAACTTTTGACTCATCATATTTGGAATTGCTCATTGAATAGATAATATATTTAAAGCACACGAATTCATATTAACATTATTGTAGTTAACATGGTATTTTCCCCTATGTTGATTTTGTAAAACATATGCCAAAAGATGCAAAGCCAACAGTCTGCCTCCTTGTGTCATCAGTAGCTTGGTAGTTAGAAATAGGAAGGAGACTTTGAAGTGGCATAGTAGCATCTTATTAATGCAGATCCTACTTATCTATAATTTGTGGCAATTTGTATGTAACATCGAGGACAAAATTACAGAATCTCCAAATTTGAGGGGACTTGGGAGGTTCATAGGTAACAGATGCAGAATCTGAGAGTTGGAAAGGGTCATCAGTGCTGGTCCAAGCCATCCCTGAAGGAACTCTTCACTGTCATATAAAGGAAACAGATTGTCCTGTGACAATCACAGGGCAGGGTAGGCGTGGGGGTTGTGTCTCTCTCTTAGTCATTGCTGGCAAGATTCTTGCCAGAGTCCTCCTTAAAAGTCTGATCCTTCACCTGGAAAATTGTCATCTATCGGAGAGCCAGTATGGCTTCAGAAAGGGCCAAGGAACGGTTGGTATGGTGTTTGCTGCCTGACAAGTCCAGGAGAAATGCCAGGAGTAGAACAGAGAGATCTTTTACACAAGGTTTGTTGATCTGACCAAGGCTTTTGATACAGTAAGTCATGAAGGCTAATGGAAAATTATGTCAAAATTTGGTTGCCCAAAGAAGTTCATCAGCATTATACGTCAATTTCGTGATGGCACGCCTGCCTGGGTTCTGGATAATGGATGATGCTCTCGTGCTTTCCCATGCACCAACGGAGTGAAACAAGGCTGTGTGCTTGCTCCCAGGCTTTTTAGCATGATGTTTTCAGCAATGTTGTCAGATACCTTCAGTAAGGTTGAACATAGGGCATCAAGGCCATGATGGCAAATTATTTAACTTGAGGTATAGGCTACAAGCCAAGACTGAAGTGGAAAGAGAGTTGGTGCATGATTTTTTTGTTTGCGTATGATTGTGCACTCAATGCAGCTTCTGAAGCTGAGATGCAACAAAGTATGGATTCTCTTCTACTTATCCTAATTTTGGCCTACCAATTAACACCAAGAAAACACAGGTACTCCACCAGCCATCCATATGTGGAACCATTGGTTACAGCAAACGAAGTTTTGATTGCTGTGGATAAATTCACTTACCTTCATAGTATACTTTCTATAGACAATGAGATTGACACATTGCCAGATCTAGCTCGGTGTTTGGGAGGCTCCAAAGGAAAGTGTGGAAGAGAAGAGGTATTAGACTGCTGACCAGATTGAAGGTCTACAGAGCCATTTTGTTGATTTCATTGTTGTAAGCCTGTGAAACCTGGACAGTCTACCAGTACCATGCTAGAAAACCAAATTGCTTCCATTTGAATTGTCTTGGGAAGATTCTGAAGATCACATAGCAGAGTAAGTTACCAGACACTGAGGTCCTTTTTTTTTTTTTCCTGGGTGAGGCAACTGGGGCTGAGGTCCTTTCTTGAGCTAAACTGCCAAGCATTCAAGCCCTACTGCACAGAGTACAACAACTCTGATGGGCTGGCCATGATGTTTGAATGCCAAATGTACACTTGCCTAAAGACTATTTTATGGAGAACTAATGCAAGGCAGGTGCTCACATGATGGTCAGAAGAAGTGATGCAAGGACACTGTCAAGGTCTCTCTGAAGAACTTTGGAATAAATTGCATGACATGGGAGATGCTGGCAAAGGACTGCACAGAAGGTCCTATGCTCTATGAGCAAAGCAGAATTGTAGTAGCTCAAAAGAAATGAGATGCACAAATTTAGAGACATCTCTCCAAATGTTCCTTGACTGTCCTGGTTGCTTTCCAGTTTGCCAATAGAGATAAGAACTATTCCCTATCCTTCCAAAATGTGTGTCCAGAATTGAGCACAGTACTTCGCATGAGGCCTACCTGTCAGCTCCCTAGTCTTGGATATTATGCTTCGCTGATCAAAGTTTAAGTTGACATTAGCTTTTTGGTTACCATGCTGCTCTGTTAACTCATAGAGAGATTGTAGTTCACTAAAGTCCTTGGCTATTATTTCTCCTTCATTTTCGAAGAGGGCCAATGACATAACAGGGTGAAATCTCTAAAGCCCTTGGATATTTTTCAGCTGAACATGTCTTTAGTCGTGCTGCTCTAATCTTGTACTTGTGAAATTAATTATTTGAACCCATCTAAGACTTTATATTTATCCCTATTAGTATTTATTTTAAAGCTGACCCAATGTTCTAACCTTTTAAGATCACTTTGAGCAAAGAAAGGAAGTGTGGTTAGGATGCCACTCGCACTTCACTCAGGCAGAGAAATTGTATGTGACAACCCTTCCTCACCTGTCCACATGATATTTTAGTCATGGAAAAAATGAATAACTTTCTTCTGTAGATTTAGAAAAAAAGAGATCAAGTGGAGGGTAAGCAGTTTACCAAATGCTTCATTCCAAGAAAATCGAGAATAAAGGGCTTTGTATTTGACAGAGATATGAGAATGTTTGAAAGGCAAGAAAGGTGAATGGCAGGAAGGAGAGGAACACTTGATCTCATCAATGTAGGAACTTTTTCTATGAGTTCAGATTGTAACTCATGCATGTTTTTTTCCCTATGCTGTTCTTGTCCATCCTTCCATAAATCTTCCTTGGAGAACTTTTGGTAATGAGCTGCAGCCTATCTACAATGATAATATGTCTTTCCATTGTCCTTTGAGTCATCTGCAATTGATTCTTCTGACAACATGATATCCTGTGATTCATAGTCATAAGGAGGGTGCTGGTGTTTTAAAGTCACTGGTTAGGGTTTTTTGCTTTTGTTTTGTGGCAGGGAGCAGCCTGGAACCATTGAAAAGTGCTCCATTATTTACCAAATGCTCTCCAACCTGTTCCTATTTTCACTTCTTGTCCTAGCTTGTCATCTATGCACAGCATCTGTCCTCATGATAAATGTACCAAGGGACTAACTTAATGGGCTGTCTAGCTAACTGCATATCATAATTTGGGTACTATGCATTCTTCATTGTCTTGTTTTTATGTGTGTGAATCGCTCTGTCAATTTCTATTGCATGACCATGAATCTCATTGAGGGCCCACAGGGTTCTGAGGTTAATGCATTCAACACAATGTCATCCAAGAAAAGGAATCTAGAGAACCTCATCATCAGTATGGAAGCTCTTTTCCATTTGGATTTGAGCAAGGCATCCTTCGTTTTAAGGACAAATAACTTCAACAAGGATGTATCTCCCTGATTTTTATTTCACTTGATGTTAATGCTCAAAGGGTCATTGAATAGAGTTGTTTCTATTTTTTCCTCCTATCAAGTACATTTGCATGATATTAACATATGCACAGGAGACCCCTTGTTAGAAGAGAACTCTAAAGGATGTATTTTGCTCCAATGAGTTCTGTTTTTGTTTTTGTAATTAACAAATACAGTAGGATCCAGTATTCTTTGTGCTTCTCAGTTAATTGAGTGACTGAAGCTAAAGTTTAATATAGAAAATCACTGATGAAAGACTTTGACAAAAAATGTTAAAAATCATAAACATTATAGACATGGAAAGGTTTCTCTAGCTCTTATCTATCTTTTAAATATGGTAAAAACATAGGTAAAAATGAAACAAGTACATTATTGGTACTGGAGAAAATTAAAAGATTCCTCAGTACAAGCAGGGACAAAGCAAAGATACGGTCTCTCCTCACTATAATTCAATTTATTTTAGAAATGCTAGATAAATAAGAAAAGAGAGTGAGAGTAAAGGGACAAAACTTGACATGGAGGAGACAGGATTACCCCTATGTGCTGAAGAGATGATGGTTTACTTAAAAAATTCCAGAGTGAAGAAATTAGAGGTGATTAGTAGCTTGAGTAATGTGGAAATATAAAATAAATTCACAAAACCATCACATTTCTATATAGTATTAACAAAACCAGAAGGAAATACAAGAAAAATTCCATTAGAATGACTGTAAATGGATAAAAATAATTGAAAATTCACCCACCAAGATACATTTTGTTGTTCAGTCATTTTTTGGTTGTGTCTGACTCTTGGTGACCCCATTTGGGATTTTCTTGGCAGAGATATTGGAGTGGTTTGCTGTTTCCTCCTCCAGCTCATTTTATAGATGAGGAAATTGAGGTAAACAGGGTTAAATGACTTTCCCAGGGTCACACAACTAGTAAGTGTCTGAAGCCAGATTTGAACTGGTGAAGATGAGTCTTCCTGACTGCAGGC